ACACACACACATATATATACACACACACACACTCACACACACACATATATATATACAGCCAGGTAACTCCCTCTGAGGCTTTAGAAGTTCAGGTCATGAAGCAAAAAAACCCCAAAGGATATGGTTACAAATCTTACCAAATGTATTGATGCTGAGTTGGTCTATGAAGTCCCAAAATCGTTCAATCACATCCTGTACTTGCTTCTCGCATTTACCCTGCAGAAGTAAAATCTTATTTATAAAATAATCTTACGCTATCTAAGCATTAACTGCTGCCTTCTCAGAAAGGGAAGAAGATACAAAGATGGTGTGGAAATGAAAACTACAGACACAGCGGCACTCGACTCACATTCTGGTTACAGGTTTATACTCATGCCCAGTAGCAGCAGTCCATTTTTACTGCCTTTATTTTTTGCAAAAGTTTCAACTTCATTGCTGTCTGAAACAGATGAAGTTTTAACATTTGAAATGTGCAAACCCCCCTCACCCTCACCCTATGTTAGGGGACACAAAACTGAAGTTTCTGGAGAGATTTAAGCACAATTTCCATTACCCACCAAGAAGGCTGCAGCTCTCAGGAGCCCAAGGTTACAGACAGACAGACTCCCAAGTCTAACACAGCAGATCACCAGACTTTCAGTTCTGCCAGCAGGAGGGCTGGGGCATGCCCTCCCAAATTAACTTCTACCAACACCCAGTTCAGCTTCAGCCACTGGGGGCTGCAGGTGACAGGACCATCCATGCAGCTGTACCACAGAAACGGTCACTGAGCACCTGCAACCCAGCAGCCTTCCTGCCACAGACTCGCTAACCTCTTCAGACACTGCCAGCTAGGATTTCATGCGACTGCTCCCTGACCTGAATTATTTTAGTCAAAATTAATTGGGCCAATGTGAACATCTGAAATAGCAAGCACTGCAAACCTATCAGAGCTCATGGCAGCACTCATTCACCTCTTTCACACAAACTGCCAGCTGGCTGAGCTGCAGGGAACAGCAAAAGCAGCAATAAGCAATGCAGAAGGTAAGAGCTTCACCTTGCACAGGTCTCTACAGAACTAAAGTCCATCTGCAGCCTCAGACACCCTTTAAAATTTACCCCGTGGAGTGGTACTGACACACTATCACCCTGTTCAGCTGCACATCAAGCTTTGGCTTCTCTTTACCAGCACAGTCCCGGTCACAGAGGACGCAAACACCCAGCCACAGCAGCAGAGCACACAGTGCACCGACGTCTGGGAAAACTCACATTTGTGTCGCAGAAGCCCACGGTACAAGGCTTCCCCTTGCGCAGGAACAGGAACTGGTCATTAGCATCGACGTAGGGAACACACCTATCCTGCTTGTCCCGGCAGCACACCTTGCAAGAATTATCTGTTTCTGTAGGAAAGCAACAAACTCATTCTTCAGCAGCACCAGGAGTCACCTGTAACCCATACCCAGCAGATGTATAACCCCACGTGTCCCCTGGCTGACTGTGTGCCTGCCCAACTTCCCCATGGCAAAGGCAAACGGAGCAAGCTGTCCAATTTTGGGCACTCTGATGATCAAGCCTGAAACTCACATGTGTCCTGTGCAACACATTAGGAGACACAGTGGGACTAAGCTCTCCAAGCTGATACCCCAACATTGCAGGAATCAACAGGCAAGTGAAGAGGTTTCAAACACATCCAAGACAGATTTGAATACTTCTTGGACTTACGTCCTCTAGACACCCCTTCTCCTTGAGTATTTCCCCTCCATTTCAAATGGTGGGGCTCACAGCACCTCCCTGCACTGCCGCTGTGAAGCTTTCCTTCTGCTCCCAGCTGCGTTACCAAATTTAGGAGCTGAGATGGAGAGCGAGCAAAGGGAAGCTTACTGACAGCAGCATATGATGGGCAGGTCTGCAGTAGCAGGGGACAGGACTCGGGGATCCTGTGTCCTCAAGGCACTTTAACCTCTTTGAAATCTTTCTTTAAGCATTTGTTGGAGGCCACCACTTCTCTGACAGATGCCTGCTCCAGAGTTGGCTGGGATCTCTTTACAATCGGAGGACAGTCAGACTTCCCCTCCTGTCCACCTGTGGCAAAGGAGGTAGAAGATGGGAGAGTGCCCTTTCCTCTAACTGGGGGGCCAGACCATAAGTCTCACCTTAATGTCTTCAAACCCAGACCACCAGAGGACATTTACATCCATTTTCCAAACAGAAAATGTTCTTGTTCCCTGAAGAACAAGCAGTTTAAACTTAACCAGAAACTCTGCCCTCCAACAGGCAACCAGTAAGGCCAGCACTCTGAGGAGCGCAGGTGAAGCACACACATCACTACAGTCCCACGTCACCCACCATTGCATGCACACGACCGTAGGTTCTTCTCTCTCTCGCAGAAAGGGACGCACTCCCCGTCCTTGCACTTCCCCATGTCCACACAGACGGTGTCATCCGGAGCATTCCCTGGAGGGGGGCACTCACTGCTGTTCCCTGCAGATGGAGGTCACAGGACTGTGTCAGAGTAAAGTAGAGCACCTTAGCGTGCAGAAGAAGAAAGAAAAATAAAGGAAATCCAGACTCATCCCAGGGGGAACCAATAGCTTGTTCTTGGCTTTCACTTGCAAGCTGCCTGCCAGCTCCTCCAAGAGGCAGCAGAAGTTCTGGAGGCTTTCAACAGCTCGGGCATTGTAGCACTTTGGCAGCCAAGCAGCAGGGAGCAGACCCTGCAGGCACCATCAACAAAGCAGCAGCAGCTCTGACTTCATTCCTTGCCTCCAGGAAAGATTATGAGGAGGAAGTAAACAAGTGGGGAAGTGAAGCAGAGCTGCACTAATTCCACCCTTTCTATGGCAAGATTCAGCTCATTCCTATCCCCTCCCAGTGACACACCCTGTTTTGCTTTTTCTCAAGCGACAGAAAGAAGGGGGGGGAAGAATCAAAATTTTTCATGTTCTTCTGGGCAGTAAATCATCAAGTGACTCCACTACAATGAAACTCATTACAGGGCAACTTTGTGACGCTTAACTGGTCTCTAAAATTACATCTACTGGATGAATAAAGGGCACTGGTTTGAGAGCTGACTGAACAGGACACTGAGCCTGGAGCGCTTGGCTTGCTGACGTAAAGGGGACAGAACCACGTCCTACCAGTGCAAAAAGACTCTCCTTTACAAGTGGCATTTATGGCTTCTTGGCATTTCTTCTGTGCACTTTCAAACTGGCAAGCTTTACAGCAGGGACTGTTCCGATCACTGTGGAAAAATCAAAATGAAAGGAACAAATACTAAGCAATTCTTTTTAAAAAATAAGTACAAGCATGAGAAAGCCAGAGAAAAAGGTTGTTTAGAAAAAAAAAAAAAAAAAAATCACCACCACAAAAAAGCTACTTCTTAGAGACTGACTCACTGATTCAAAACCCTTGTCCTCTCTGTCCCTTTCTACAACCAACCTTTCGACACACCCACTCACTCTTCATTTACCAAAGGTAAAAACATGTAGAAAGTACAACATATTAAGAGAAAACTCCTGGACCCTCCTCTCACTTGCTGTGCAACTTTGGACAAGATCTTCTGCTGTTTTCTTCCCCACGCATTTACCACCATTTGTCCTGAAGGTTTACTACTCTTTATTCTGCGCTCTTTATTCTCTTTGTTCTGCATCTAGTGCAAGAAGGCCCTTAGTACAAACACCGTGATTAAAGTTGAAGGAATTTCTTATGAGTTACATGATCCCTCTAATGTTACATGGCACAGAGCTGGACTCTGAAAAACTCAATTGGACACTGCATTGCAACAGAGCCACGAACACCCCACAGAGCAAGATCAGAAAGACGACTCATTCGGTACAGTCAGTGTGTTGTCTGCTCAAGCACATTTTGCAGGACGCTTGAAAATACCAGTATGTCATCCCAGTTTAAAACTGCCTTGCAACACAAGCAAAAAATGTACTTGCACAGGACATTTCTAATATTAATTTTTGGAATGCCTGAATTTGAAGAATAACAACAACCACCACCACCACCACCACCTTCATGCCTGTAGCTCTTGGTACTTCTCAGAAAACGTAACAGAATGTTATAAAAATTAATGTATGCAAACAGCGCAGGCACACAGCAGCCTTTCCTGAAATCCTTGATTGTCTTCAGCTCCCACATTTAGCCTCAAAGCCAGGAAACAGGTCTATGACCCTGCAGGTAGCTTTAGAGACTTCCAGCCCACCCCATCGTTGTCTCCCGCATTAAAAGAAGTTGCAGCTTCTTTCCCCTTACCTGCACTGGGCACCCTCTTTCAGTTTACAGTCTGCAGAGCAGCAGGGATCAGCCTGTTGGTACAAGAGGCCAGGATCGCATTCCTCCCCTTCATCCACCCTGGAGTTGCCACACACTTTGTTGTTGCGCTCTTTGAAGCACTCCTGGGCCTTGATCTCTATGGTCCTATGGATGGATTTTTTGCTGCAGCTTGAGAACATCTGGAGAGTCACAAGGGGAAAGAGCAGCACTGAGGAGTGTACCTTTCTGTCAACAAGTGGCATCTAAGACAGCCTCAGCCTCCTTACGCCTCCTCGTTCTGGAGTCTCAGAAAGCCGTTACTTCCTCTACACTGCCAGTTTGATACCTTGGAAAAATCTTAGGATAGGAAAGTAATGGCTGGGTCCATAAAGGGCACTGCTACACTACAATGCAGGGATGCCCACATATGGCCTGGCTCATGGTCAGAGAGTCAACTGCAGCTCTCCCACAGCTCCAGGACCACCAGCAACCATCCCCAAGAAGGGCTGAAGTTGTAGCAATGGGGAGAGACTGTGCTGCCTTTTCAGCAGCAGGGCTAGACACGAACCACAAGCCAGACGAGACTGCAGGCTCCTCATCCCCTCGATAGTCTTGGCTTCTCATCTGGAGAGCAGGCACAACGCCAAGTCAACACTGCCAGTGCCAGCTGCTGAGACTGGCGAGCACCATGGCTGTGGCGTCTGGCAGTCTGTGTCCCACAGGAAGAGCTAAGGACCACCCTAATGCTATCTGGTACTGAAGGTCCTGTATTTGACTCTTGCTGATGACTTGCTCTTAGCAGCATATGGCCACAACTAACTACAAACAACTAACTTAAAAAAGCACCTGGACATGCTACGAACTCAAATGAAACTCAGAATCCAAAGATGAGCTTATCTTGCAGAGAACCAACACCGTGCAAATATGTTTTCTTCTTATGGCTAAGTCGTTACATTCCTGATGGTTTCAAGGTACAGGAATCATTAACTAAACAGACTTTCCATGCAAAGAGTGACTGACCATAGCAGAAACTCGTATGTGGAAGCAAAACTATGCAACTATACCTTGTTATTTTCATGATCTCCACTGACAGCAATTGGATACATGACGTATTTCCCTCCCTGGTCTTCAGTGGGGGCACATTCTGGCAGGCTATCAGGATCATGCTCTGCTCCAAAGTTATGTCCAAGCTCATGCGTCGTAACCAGGTCAGCTTCCTTTTTTGAACATGAAAAAACAATGCTGAAAAAAATGAGTCTGAGCAGGAGAGGACAGAATATCCCAGAGGATTCAGGACACCAGCAATTCTAAGACACACTGAGATGGAAAGGGATTTCCCTATGAACTTTTTTTTGTTTGTTTTTAGAAGTAGGCAACTAAAGGCAAGTAAAATCATGGTCCATTTCCACAGGCAAGTTCCAGCACTAGGTTTGAATACTAAACCACTGGTAAAGGCAAAATGCTATTCTAGAATACCCACTTCAAGCTTGTTTTCAATGCAATGCAGATACTTAAAAATATCAAAATTAGCTTTTAAATAGCTGGAAGGCATAAAAAGTTGAAAAAAAAAACCCAATCCAAACAAACACCAGCTACTATGATTAGCCAATCTCTTGTTCAACGTATTGTGCCATTAGAATTTTCTTCTAAATGGATGATGACATTAGGAGTGGTGAATAAGCTCTTCTATTGCATGATTACTGTGAAAGACACCTACAAACATGGCCCAACAGGGATGGATTTCCATCATTTATACAAGACAGGATTCCTTCTGCTGAGGATCCCAAACCAGCTCTGACTCCCTGCAGCGCCTAGACCCACAGATGGTGTCAAGATCACAAGGTGACAGCCACAAGTAAAACTGGCACAGAAATAAAAGTTAACCACAAGAAGAGTTCAGGAGAGAAGCAAGCCTGACGAGCTTTCATCATTTTGGCTGCTGTGCAGGCACAGGAAGGACCAAGCACTGCAATAAACAGCTCTGGTACCCAGGGTAGACATAGCTCATGTGAAAACCAGAGACAGGTGAGCTGCCCAGAGATCACTCCCGTGATTCACCATGTTTAATTCTGGGAAGGGTTTTAAGCAGGTTTTTTCTTTTTTTTAAACCCAAGTGGTCACCATGCAGCACTCTCCCAGTGAAACCAATCCATAATGCTCCCACTGCCTCATCCCAAGCTTTGTGGCCGCCAGTGGGAAGACGGCAAACTCAATTTCCTTTGTAAGCCCAGGCAGAACTCCAGCTTGGAGACTGAACAACAAATGCAAAAAGCATGGCAACAGCTAGAGCTCTTTGTCAACATCCCTCTCACACAAAGCTTCACTGTCTGTTTTTTTTCTAGCTTCTTGACAGCTTCTGTGCCAAGTTTTAGCCCACACATCAATTATGAATCCCGTCTATAATCAGGCTACAGAAAAGCGCAGCTGAGAAGTCAGCAAAAGTCGGCAAAAGAGAAATACGCCCAACTGCAAAGATTTGGTAGATGCGAACACAGGCACTGCTCTGGTATCTTTACAAGTGAGACAACGCTCATATTCAGGCCTTTATTCATTCACTTTCTCATCAACTATTAAAAAAAAAAGCTCAGACACCATCCATATACATTAGGCTTCGTATTAGCACTAATAAGCCCTGCCTATTATGCCGTTCTCTGCTCTACTTATTCAGGACAGACACACACATGCACACAAATATCATGTAGAGAAATTTAATCAAAAGGCCCAAACTAAACCTCCTACTTTGCCTGCACTACTTTCACTGCTTAACCTTGCAAATGGAACAGACGATGTGTACACAGTTGTCCCTTTGCATGTGGCAGGTGTACCTAACAGCGAAGATGTTTGTATTTTCTTATTTGAGTCAGCAGACTCATTTTATTCTTATTGTAAGTCTACTTGTATAATATTTGCTTGCTTTGTTGATGGTTTGGTTTTGGTGTTTAGTGGTTTTTTTTTTTCTTTTTAAAAAGGAAAATACAATTAAATTAATCTTTGGATATCAAAATCATGTTTATAACTAAAAAAATGCAGCTCCTATTAGACACTGGCTATATTTTCTCATTACTGCTCCCCAGGGAATTCAATCTTCAATTCCACTCAGTCCCAACTCCCCTTGTTATCAAGGACAAAAGCTGTGGCTTTTGTTTTGTGACCCACAACCTTGCCCCGAGGGATGTGACTCAATCGGAAAACCAGCAGGGAGAGAGCAGGGAAGCTTGTCACAATCCCATGGCACACACCACCAGCACACACAGACGTCCACTGAACGTCCACGCTCTGCAGAGGAGGATACTCTCCTACCTTGGTGAGGATGGTCTTCCCATAGTTCTTGGTGCTGGTTAAGCCACTGTTCAGATAGATGTCCTTCTTTGCAATCTGACTATAATAAGCTATACAAATGAGAAAGGAACAAATCAAAATTGTCAAACATTTTTCTTGGGTTTCTGGGTTTTTTTGGGGAGTGAGGAATACTTGTTTGGGACATGAACACCGCTATTCCTCTCACAGGCTCACCAGTGAGACCCTGCCTCTTGCCAGTTTTTGAAGTGGGGAACCTTCCAAGCAGTGCATGAACAGCTCATGTATTGCAGCAAAGGGGAAAATACAAGAAACTTCCAAGACAGCAGCATCTGCCATTCCAGAACCACTGCAAGATGTACCCACACAAAGCAACCCTTGGTCTACGGTTTGGTCTAGCCAGCTTGTTCATACCAGACGTCTTAGTGACTTTTATCCTCCCCCCTCCTTTTTCCAACTCCAGCCAAAAAACCAGTCATCTATTCTTTCTGAAAACCAGCCACTGGAGTCTACGCAAATAACACATCATACTTCGTGAAAGTTGGAGAAGAGGATTAAATGCCAGTAACAAAAACTAGCTTTCAACACACAACCGAGAGGGAAGAAAAAGACACCTTGCCTTTAGGACAAATGCCACCATGGCTGTTAGGTCTGGGAGAGCCAACATAAGCCAATCCAAGCGTTCCCATGTCAAAATCTTGATATGTGAAGAGATGGGCAAGGCACACATGAGCTGCTTTCTCAGCAATATCAAAGCTAAATTGCTTTAAAGAAAAAAAAGTCAGATATATGTAAGACACTCTATGGTACATATTAGAAGTCTATAGATAAGAACATTTATCTAATGAGCCAGACAGGCACCTTCTAGAACTGGTTAAGTCAGAAAGCAGCAGCTGTTATATGCCCTACAGAGCTGTAGAAAATTAAATTAATACCCAAGTACACTGTACACATTCATTTACATAACTTCTCTATTCATTTTCCCTTTTCACAGGGAGGGGAAAACCAAGTACAACAATTTGAGGAAGGTCACAAGGAAGCCAGGCTCAGGGCCAGGCATATCAGGGCTGCCTTTCTGACTCAGGCCACGTACTAATAACTGTAATTGGTGCATGCTCTGTAGTTATGCAATGGAGCCCTTTATTATGGGCTACAGGGCACATCAGCAGCTTGACTGTGCATAACATCTCCACATCATGTGAAAGAAGTGGAGGACTTTCACCTGTTTCTACAGAGCAGCTGTATGAACAAGTAAGTCTCTGTAAAGGGCACAATTTTTCAAGGGTTACAACTCACCTCTAGCAGCATTTTCACATCCCAAGCATCTTTCTTATCATCTGGGTAACTTTTTGCCATATTGTAATGCTTTTCTCCAGGATTTACAAGATTTGGCTCATTGTGGATGATGATCTACATTTCAAAAAGGGCAACAACAATGTAGAGGAATTTATTTTACAGCTACAGAAAAGCTTTCAGTGTAATCTTATATGTCTCAATAGATCTGCAAGAAGAAAAATTCAGACTCAGCATGCTTCTAATGTTAACTTTTCAGCCTCTGCTAGATAAGATACACTGACTGCATCATAGGCAACTACATGAGCCATTTTATAGAGCAACATCAATGCTTTTCACTGTAACATTCTGCTTCGAGATGCATGTTATTCTATCAGAAAAAAACCCACCCAAATACAACAAGGATTTACATATAGTATAAATAACCCCAAACCGTTTCAGAGTTCTAGCTAACCAAAACATATTTTAAAGGATTGCTACTGTCCCAATAACCTAGAATTAGTGCATCATGCTCTTTTCTTCTCCCTGTCCAATTAACTCCCCGTCCTTGTTCCTGAAGACCTTTTCCCAGCAAAGAGGCAGCAAGCTTGTACCATGAGTCCCTGTCTCTCACATCACAGCTCTTGCAGTACTCCAAGCCAAAGGATTCCTCCTTTTTTTAATGCCCCTTTCCAGATTTCTGTCCACTAATTTTTATGACCCATCATATAAACTGTAGTCACTGCATCCTGAGTGTCCACTCTGTACCAGCCTCTACAATGCCTTGATATCAAGCTGCTGAGGGGAGTTATTAAAGCTGTTCAGGCAGGATTTGTGGCTTTTTTCAGCTGTGTTTGGTGCCCACTCAGGCTTTGTAAGCTAAGCAGTAGCCATGGACACAAGCAATAAACACATGCGTAAGAGTATGTTTGACAGAAACAAGAATTGCTCATATTCTGGGAAAAAAAACACCTTTGAATTGAGGTTAAATATAGACTCTCCCTGAAAACGCCCATCTCAAAAGCTGTGAGGAACCAAAATGGACATGCAGTGACAAACCACACCACCTCTGGCAAGATGCTATTTCAGCATGCTCCTGGCTTGAGTCAGTAATGTAGGATTTGATTATTTTAGCTCTAATCCAGATAAAATAATCAGAATACTTGATATCCCAAACACGTTTTTATCCTTTAAATTAGAAATCCTTCGCATAGTTCAGTGAATACCTGCTCTATCTGTATGCCATACCCATTGAAGGCTCCATTGTCCCAGGAAGTATTTCGGTAGATGTCATCTACTCTGTCTATCAATTCAATCTATGCAGAAAAGAAAAACAAGTTATTTAGTTCTGAGCTTTCATGTAATAAAGTTCAACATCCTCAGAGAAGCTGCAGCATACTTATCTAGAAACACTCACTTCAAATTAAAATTGAACCTCATAACAGACATACTCATTGATCCAAAAACAGCAGCACTTGGATCCAGAGAGTATTAAACATCTCTCAGAAATTCCCATCATAAAAAACAGTACAAACTTTCCCATTAATCATCTTCATTTGTATCATGGAAGAGCGATAATATTAAAAACAAGACATTTTGGGAAATGCTTTGTTCATATACTAGTTTTCCAGGTTTCTTTGAGAGGAAGGGCAGAGGAGGGAGCTGTTTTTACTGCCTTGTTGTAGCACAATGCTTAACTAGTTTAACTGATCCCCAAGGCCTGCTTCTCACTCGCAGCCAAAACTTTATTATTTTCCTCATTATGGTTCAAGCACAAGGTTCCAGAAAGTCTCTCCCTCAGCGCTCACTATCAATACCTCCCTTCGCAAGCTGTTATCTTCTTAAAAACCACCTTCTACTAAATATAAACCATCAAACTTGCTCAGAATGGAAAGTGACATTCAGAGCCACTTGGTAACAGCAGCTTTAGTTATGCTTTAGTTTTCCATTCACTGTGTTGTTTACAGTACACATCTACTCAGGAAACCCAACAGCAGGTTAGCCTGGAAGACTCATGTGTCAGATGCTGAGATAACAGCATCTCTGCAAATACACAAACAGAGGCTCTGTTACCTAGGGAATGTACACATTTCTGGTGACAGAAAGGTCAAAAAGCCAGCAAGGGGAACAGAGTGACCAGCATTTCAAAGATTCAGGTTCAGAAAAAGACTCCAAACAAACACCAGACTTCCAAAAGAGGTTTCATTTGCTTTTGTCTTGAGTCGTCAAACCCATGCTTTCCACTGCTGCTGAAAGGCTGTGGGCACACATTCTATTTCACAAAAGCTTGTCAGGTAGACAGCCCCACTGTACTGGTTTCGGCTGGGCTAACTGGTAACCAATACATGTGATAGAGCCCTGCTTTCCTGAGGATAGCTGAACACCTGCCTGCTGATGGGAAGCAGTGAATTAATTCCTTATTTTGCTTTACTTGTGCACACAGCTTTTGCTTTCCCTATTAAACTGTTTTTAGGCAACCCACGAGTTGTCTCAAACCCTTTCTCTCCCCAGCCCGACCAGGGAGCAGTGAGTGGCTGGGTGGGGCTAAGCTGCCTGCTGGGGTTAACCCACGACACCCATGGACAACCAAAGGAATTCTGGTTCGATTTTACTGTTCTAGACAGAGAACCCTGGAAGAACTTGAAAAGAAAGCCTGTACAAGTCACTTTTGCCTCTCGTATCAGCTTTAAACATGCTTGAACTTTAAAGATATTTGGATCATTTGGAGTAGAATTCAAAATCCAGGAGATTCTAAAGCTCTGACTGGAAAAAAACACATTTCTTAGACAGAAAAGAGCATAGCCACAAGAAGTACGCGAAGGGAAGGGGTTTGTTTATAAAGAAGAAAGTGAAGACTATTTAACTACAGTATCACCATTCAAAAGTGAATTTTGAATTTTTGAAGCATGATTTAGTACTTTTGCAAGTAAAAAGCACACAGAGTCATGAAGTAAATACATACGTTGCAGAAAAGTAGTGTAAGCTCTATGGTAACTACTGAATCGCTATCTTTTTCCTCCATTTACTTCAGAAAATACTAACACAGTACGTTTACTTACCAAATAGTTTATAGTCGTACTCTCTTCCCCACGGCCCATGTACTTGAAAAAACGATGATCTGCCACTACCAACATCTTGCACGTGTTTTTGGAGTTCTCTGGAACAGTTCTTTTCTTCCGATGGATGCCTGCTAATGTGAACATTTTAAATACAGTTAAACAAACACTCAACAAAACTGCCACTGTTGCATCTACTACCCTTACTTAAGACATGAATGTGAGTTTGGGTGGTATTTTTGGGGGAATGGGGACGTTTGGGTTTGTTTTTTGTTATTTGTTTTTTATTTTTTAATAATTATTCTTAAATTTTGTCTTCATAACAATCCTTAAACTTGTAAGAAAAGTAACATATCATAATGAAATTGAGCTATTCAACAGATTTATCAACAGAGCTTTTACGGTCACCATCTCAGTCGTAACACCTCTCCGCCTGTTCCTAGTCGTCATCCCCATCTCTGCTGCCACAGCTGAGGCCAGAGGAAAGAGGCATCTAAAACTCTCAAAACCCCATCTTAGCTCAAGATGGATTCTTAGAATAATCACTGAGGCCAAACAGGTCCTGCTGCACAGTGCAGATATAAAGTTGTTTTAATGTTCCCAACATTGCTGCCAGCTATCACAACAAGCGCTACTTCAGCCTGATGAAATAGCTCGTATCCTTAGCCTACACTTTGGTAGGGCCAAACATCCTTTCAACAAGCCAAGAGGAAACATGCCCCTAGTGACAGTTTCTTCCTTTCATCAGTTGTTGGGACATTTTTGGATGGGAAGCAGGCACAACAAGGAACGCTACTTCAATAGTTAAACTAGGAACACTGACATAGATTATTGACCAGGTTCTGATCCTATTTGCCTACACAGCCAGAATTCAAGCATTCAAAGATGACCCTCTCCCAAAGTACGGACACTTACCTTCATTTTGCTTCCTGTCTTCCAGTCCTTTTGGCAACAGTTCTTCTTCGTTCAGCTTTAAATAACCACACACTTTGGGGGACTGCAGTCGCGAGACATCTTTAATATCTTCAGACCTATAGACCAGCAGTCTTTCATCTTGCACATTATCTACAAATCTCCACAGTGGCTGACAGCACAAGAGGAGAAATGCAATTAGTTGGGAACGCAGTGAATGCAAAGACTAAGTGTATACAAGTAAAAAAAATATATTTATGTACCATCAAATCTCCAAAGCTTTATGTGCACACACACATAAATACATTGGACTACAGTAATATCACCCATAGCAATGAGTCTACTGATAAAACAATGTCCCCAAGACAGCCAACAGAGTTCAACCCTTTTATGCTACACAGGCATCCAAAAATCTAAGACCATCTTAAGAGAGCAACCACAGACACCTGATAAGGCTGTAGAAGAGGCAGAATTTTTCTTTCTCTCCAGACTATGAGCAAGCTGAGAAGGCATCTCAGGCTCCTCCGCTCCCTCCATAACAGTATGGAGACAGGCACATCAGGGAGGAGATACTTAGACTATGCTAACAAACGCGCTGATCAGAAAAACAGCGGCTGCAGATAACAGAAAATACCTCAACTGCACAGCAGAATGCAGTCTTCATGGCAGAAGGCAGGCTCTTCAACATTCAATGGCTGACCATGAGCCAGCAATGTGCCCTTGCAGCCAAGAAGGCCAATGGCATCCTGGGCTGCAACAAAAGAAGTGTGGCCAATAGGTCAAGGAGGGTTCTCTTCCCCCTCCACTCTGCCCTGGTGAGGCCGTATCTGGAATATTGCATCCAATTCTGGGCTCCCCAGTTCAAGAAGGACAAGTAACTACTGGAGAGAGTCCAGCGTAGAACCACTAAGATGAGGGGACTGGAGCATCTCCCATATGAGGAAAGGCTGAGAGAGCTGGGTTTGTTCAGCCTAGAGGAGACTGAGGGGGAGATCTCATTAATGCTGATAAATATCTAAAGGGCGAGTGACAGGAGGATGAAACCAGACTCTTCTTGGTTGTGCCCAGCAACAGGAAAAGGGGCAATGGTCACAAACTTGAACATAGGAGGTTCACCTTAAAGATAAGGAAAATCTTCTTTACTGTGAGAGTACCAGAGCACTGAACAGGCTGCCCAGAGAGGCTGTGGAGTCTCCTTCTCTGGACACATTCAAAACCCACCTGGATGCGTTCCTGTGTGACCAACTCCAGGTGATCCTGCTCTGGCAGGGAGGTTGGACTGGATATCTTCAGAGGTCCCTTCCAACCCCTACCATTCTATGGTGTTTTTATTTTATTTTTTTTTTAAGCCAACACATCCCTGTTATTATGTGTACATAACAACTACAGCAACACCACCAAATACAACACAGCCAGGGCCTGTTCTGTGCGCAAGGCCAAGTAGCACAAACTGTCCATGTCCACACTGCAGAACACATGGGTCTGGGTCTCCTCTGGCCCTTAGGCAGTGGTCTTTCAACTTCAGACAACTATTATTTAGCACACTGTGGTTTTGGTTCACAGCAAAAAGGTCTTGAAGAGCAAAGGCTGGGCTGGCCCTGCAGCCACGTGTCTATAGTGTGAAACTGAGGGCACTCATTTCACATGCTAGGACAAGACACGAGGGCACCAGGGTTTTATACAAAGGTCTGCAACTGTTCTGAATAGTACGGGAGGACCATGAAAGCAAAGGAAGGCAACAGTGGAGTGACTTTGTCCACATTGCATTTTGGAAATGGTCTCAGGCACACACCACCTCTGACTACACAGAGGCGTCATCTCACCCAGGGCTGGTCAGGGGACGAAGCTGACCCTGGGATGCTAACAGCTAGGCAGTGTGGGTGTCGTGGTTTATACAGTTGCTCTATCACCGGGGGAGGGGGGTTGGGAAAAGGAAAGCAGATTTGTGGGTTGAAACAGAAATATATTTAATAAAATAATAACAACAACAACAAAGATTAATAACAGTTATAATATAAAATACAGAGTTATGCTCAACCAATGTTGTGGGGGAGTAGGCCTCAGGGTCAGGATGGTAAACAAGTCTCTCTCCACATGTTAGCCATGGAAGAGGGAGCAAAAGAGAGCAGGATGAAGAGGCAGAGAAGGACAGTTGTCCCCAGTTCATAGTGAATGTGACATTTACAGTATAAATAGTATTAACTGGTCAGCCTGGGGTCACCTTGGGGTCAACTCCCCTAGGTTTCCGCTCTCCCCAGCCTCTGCACATTTTATCTCAAGACCGCTGAAGACCTTGGGCACTGTGGTAACCCGCATACCAGTATTAGCTGAAACCTGTAACTAAGTTTTATCACTTTGTTCCCATGAAATTGAGTGCTGTATTCCTTACAAAACTGCAGTTTTCCTCAACAGAAAACTGACTCTAAAATTCTGTCCCACCAAACCAGGACAGTGGGCAAGTTGGAGCCTTCAAACCATGGTCTGCCTTCATTTAGCTGTACCAGACGCAGCCAGGGAGAAGCAAGGGGCTGGCTGCGTATGGAGCTGAGATATGCTTACATTACTCTGGACCACAAACACAAAAATGCTTTAAACCACAATCAAACGGCTGCTACATGCTCTTAACACAAAACACAAGCACAGCGGTTTGGGTATTCCAATCACACATTCAAACTTTAACACGACTGGATTTCCCAGGTTTACCCATAATTCTGCACATCCTTGGGACTGAAGACAATTACAATATCCACGTAACACTTAGCCATAACCACCGTTATTCAGCCATCCTAATACAGCTTGTGTCTGAGAATGTACTGCACTGAACAACTCATTAGGATAGTCTTTAATTATGTATTTGCTGAATAATTTTTAAACCAACAGTTTAAAATAACACAAGCAACAAAAATGGTGAGAAACAGAAACAAAGGAGCAGGGAAAAAGACCAGATTTTCAAATAAAGCTCTAAGAATGGGAAAAATTCCAAGATGCAACAAAGCCAAAATTTTAGAAAGCTCAACTAATCTCAAATTTGCTCAGAAGGCAGCACAGTTTGTTATTCTAGAGGACATGATCACCACTGCCTACTAACATTAAATGATTACTGTTTCTAAAACTCTTTCCTGTTTGAAACATACCTTCTTCCTGATGTATCTAAAACATGTAAATGTCAGAGAATGTCACTCACTAATAAAACTCAACACTTACAAAGTTAAGCTGATTTCCAATCTTTCCCTTCTCCCTACTCACCCCAAAACAAACACCACCACCAAGTTTATTTTAATCTATAGAGCTGTCAATGTAACTAACTACAAAGAGAAGCATCCACATAGGAAAGAGATGATTGTTTGAATACACCTTTCAATAGCAAATCATACCTCGATATTGTATTCTTCTCCATCAGTACTGATTCTCACTGTAAAATCTTCATCCCCAATATGTGCCACAACCTTGGAATGATGTTCTCCTTTAACATAAACAAATGAAAAATAAAATCATTTAGCTCTACTTGCATGCACTCCTGCACAGACACTGTTTGTTGAGTTTTTTTAATTGTTTCTAAACTTCATGCCAAATTACCTTCCTCAGTCTCTGAAGAACACTACGCTGTCCAGTTTAAATGAAAAAAAGAAATGAGCCAGCACTCTCCCCCAGTCTGAACTTCCCAGTGGTCACAGTCATCAAGACTGAGATTTAACCGATAATTCTGCAGAAAGTGTTGAGATGACACTGGGAATTAGTAATGGGACACAATATTTCTGCCAAGAAAAGCAGCTTGCATCTTACTACAATCAGACAGCAGTTTCATGGCGTCAGCCTGCATTCCAGTGGGAAAGACTTTCACCACATCACACAGGCAACATAAAAATCAAAACAACTTAGCAGAAGCGTTAGTGCTGGACTACAGTGGGGCAAGATACTCTTTCTTTACAAAAAAAGTATTCTGCGAAGAACCATCTTAAAGTCTTTTACTACAACATTCTGGGCAACACTGCATCACCACTACCTGAGCTTTGCGTTCTGGGACAAGGAACATTCAGGTCCTACATTTCCAGTTGGAATTAAAGCTACCATTGCCATTTTCAAAACAAACAAACAAACAAAAAGTCACAAGCTTCTGCTTGAGTAAATGATACCTTTGTGTTCTGCCAAACTAGGCAGAAGAGTCCTATCTTAGGCCCTTGGTGCAATACCTCAAAAAACCCCCAAAAAACCCAAACGCACACCAACCAAACCTAAAAACAAAACCAACAAAACCCAAATCCACCACAAAAACAAAACCAGAAAACCCAGGGGGCATGCAAATTAAGTTTACTTGTTCATCCTAAACATATCTGATGAAAGTGAAGGCAATATACCATTTACTTTGGCCAAAAGCCTCGTGCAAATCTGTGCTTTCTCAGCACTGACACAGTCTGGTCCATACTAACCAACTACATGTCCGGTGAAAAAGTCTTGCCATTGAACACGATACTCCTTTTCCTTGCCTTCACCATCCACAATTAATGCTTGAAATTTTTCTGAAAAGTGTTCAGCAGTTGCAGTTAAGTATAATTTAAAGTGCCTGTAAAAGAATTTACTTTCATTTATTTTAAGCAAAGTACATCCATAACAGACACATCCAGCCTCCATTTTACGGAGTGTCCCGAAGAAGTTTGAAAGTATTAACTCTGAAAAGCAGGCTACAAAAACATACACTGTCATTCAGAACTGTAAAGTATTTTTAAAGTGTCAAAGACATTTACCTATAAAAAACAAACCCCCAAACAAACCACAAACACTCTATCCCCCCAAACAGTCCCAGTCTGCTCATGATGTATCTTCTTCACACGCAGTCAAGCAAAACCAGTTACTGGTAAACATTTAAAGAAAATCAGACCAAGGAATTTGTTAATCTCTTTTAAGTTAAATTATCTTCAAGTTCTTATTTTCTGAAATAATACAATTAGAAGACCGTAATAAGAAATCAGAACTTTGTTGATTTTTATGATATAGCATCACAAAAACTAAAGGCTATCCCAAGATGCAAGTAAAGAACCTTCTCTGATGAAGTCACAGGGGCTCTTGGTTTACGTGGGCAACGGGTCGAAAATTTTTGATATGCCTCTCCGCAATTATCCTGTAATGATCATTGGCAGTATTGCAAACTCACCATCAAGCCAGGGTGCACAAAGCAGTGCAAGACAGGGTCAGCCAGACAGGATTTGATCGCACAAACCCTTTATACTTGCTACTTAAAAATTATCTGCCAAACATTTAGAGATAAAAAAATATGCACAACTTGTGTGAGTTATAGTTGTACCTGACAGATGGGCAAGGCACACGAAAACACGGTAGACAAAGATGTCAGGTAAACAAAATTGACTTGTTAACAGCAGTTAATCAACTTTTTAAACACCAAATGCTATTCTCACCCTGCTTCCCCATTTCAGATTCACAATTAAATCACTGTCACTTCAGCAAACAGAATACTACAGTGCAACTGCTTTTTCTATTTCCTCTGAGCCTCTCTGAAGTCACATAACCACGCAGATCACTAATTCACTGGCCAGTCATGACAGAAAACAAGATACCTATTTCTGTGTTTGAAGTTGTGTATTATTCATCACAAACCGAATGAAAATATCACACTATTTCATTGCTGATGATTTAATTACCTTTGCAGGGCTGAAAAACTTAAGAGCCTCTCTACGTGTGTCTCAGGCTCGAGGTCCCTCTTCTTCAGTGAGTGTTGCTGGATGCTAGACTGAGATAGGATGTCGTAGTCTGAAAGCATGGACTCCACTGTGTCTGGAAGAACAAGAAGGAAAGTTTTAGTTTCAGGAGACTCTTGCAAATGCACACAAACCAGCAAAACTGAGCATCAGTTTGCTCTAATTTTAGGATAACTATTGTACATTTCTAGAAAGGTGCATTTTGTGTAGGCAAGTAGAAATCATAGTGCAAGACAAGACATGATCTGAGAGAGGCAAACAAAGAACTTAGTTCACTTCTTGTAGCAGTTTTTGAGCAACCAACCCATCATTTTTACTGCCGCAGTTGTGCAGAGCGAATGGTCTTCCCGGCTGCCTCCTGGAAACTAAATGGGGGAAAACAACCCCACTTCTCTGCAGTGAATCACTGTTCTCCCCACCTGCTGGTCCCCATCCAAGTCTGAGGAAGAAAATAATTTAACCTAGGAAGCTGCTACCAAATTCACTGATCAGAACTGCGTGTATTACTTCTCTGTCCAACAGCAGCCAGAAAAGAGATGGCTGCATAACATAATGAACCAGCAATAACCAACGAGGCACTTCCAGGTACCCTGCTTTCCCCGTCTTACCACCATGAAGACTACTTTGATTGACCTACTCAGAACATGAAAACTTGTTCAGAGGAGGGAGACCAAGGGTCCAAACCTCTATGGGGAGCAGCACACAAATGACAAATTCAGGTCAATATTCTGCAGATGCTTCTACCATTAACAAGCACCCAATGCCAGCTGCCAACAGTGTTTGGCTCTTGCTGATAAAGCCTCCTGCTGCTTTGTCAGGCATCCCTTTGCAGGAGCATCCACCACCCACTGAGACACCTGACAACCACCTTCACTTCCACCAGCACTGATCAATTCATTTGCTGTTTACAGCCTTAAATAGAGGCCCTTATTCCCACATCACTATCTTCCTTCTCTGCCAGAGGTGCTCACTGCACCAAATGAGGAGTCAGCTGTGTTTTTACAAGAGGCAGAAGTGCTTATCCAGTCTGTCTTTATTAAAAAGGCCATGGCTTGGAGGTGAGGAAAATTAACAACCAGTGTACGTGTGCTCACATGAAGAGCGAGGGAGCTGCAGAAACAAGGATGTGCCTCACACCCCTCTTGGCCCTGCACCAGACACTACCAGCAAAGCATCCTGACCTATAGGTGACACAGGTGTCCTCTCATGTGCCAGAAGTCACCAAGCTGTGGCTCTCAGGCTTCTCCCTCCCCAGCCACCCCTCCCCTGCCATTGAGCAACACAGGAAGGGCAGTGCAGTTGCAATTTCCTGATTTCTGTTTACAGCCCACAGGTCGAGAGCACCTGCAATCGATTACTGTGCATTTCGGGTTATATGCAAAGGCAAGTTTCCACCACCTTCCTTCACATTGTGGGTTCCCCCCCCCCCTCCTGTGCCCACTGCTGCATGCCAGGCAGCACCTTCACCATTAGCTTGCCTCTATGCTGCAAACCTGGTTCATTAGAGCCACACAGTGACCAAATAGCTAAAAATCCCCAAAACACCTATTTTCTTTAAAAGCCCATTATAATTCATTGCTTATGGTCTGATACCTGCCCTCATCCAGAACCACCTATGAGGTGAGTGGGGACAGGCACGGAAAATCAATTCAGTGAAAAAGAAACAAACTTCATTAAACTGTCTAGTCCTAAATTCTTTTGATTAAGCCTGAGATTCTTCCAACACACTCGACTATAGCAGACCCCGCAACTAAAGTGAATGTTGATACATGGCATAACAAACATTGATTCATGATACAGAGCAAGAGCGTGGTATGTGGGCCATGAAGCAAGAGAGGTGTGGTACCACTGCTGCGCTGCTCCGAGACTTCCTGACACCGAGGCTGGCCAAGCACAAGGTCTGACCGAGATGCACGACCCCAGCTGCAAAACATAGGTCTTTCTGCCTGCAAAGTTCAGCCCAGCGCCAGGGGAAGGTCATGCCACAGAGCAAGATACAGCTGCCACTACAGCCACACAAAATGTCTCAATTTCTTGGCAAAAAACCTGACAAGTCTGCTAAAGAAATTAGGGTTTTTCTATTTGGTAGGCAAGAACTTCAGAAGTCCTGCTCCACCTCAACACACAAAAATGCCCTTCTGGAAATGCATCACAGAGACATGGGAAGCATAGTAAGAACAAGGCCTAGAGAGTCAATGAAGATGAGTAAGACGATTCTGTTCAAGTAACAAATGAAACACAGGACACTCCTAGTTCCTGTAACCCTGAAACAAGAATGCACTTGTTCGTATTTCCTCTTACGCTTCCTAAATTGGTTTGCTTTTAGTTTTACTTGCAACATAAGTTAAAGACTTCAGATGTGATGCTGCTGGACATAAATCTGTGAGTATCAGACAGGTATCTGATTCAGGTATCACACAGAGATGGAAAAAAATATAATCGTAACATGCTCAAACCAAAATTTTTCTGTAAAATTCTCATACTGTGAAAAGAGAATCCATGGTCATGGCTTAATGAAAATAAAAGATGAAGTGTCATTATTTTAAACAAAATCCAGAACTGTACAGAGTCCAACTGCGAAGCAGTCTGTGGATGGGAGCCACAGCAAGCATATACTTAAATATTTTTTATTCAAGTTTAAAAATCTCTCTGGCATTCCTTCCTCATTATCTTCATTATGGTCCAAAAGCCATTTCCCACAGGCTTCAACAGCACTGAGCTGACTCAGGTCTTCCCAAACCACTTTCCTGTGGTTCCTGCCCTTCTGGCCTCTCCTGGATTTCTGTATTCCTCTCCTTTTGGAGGACACATTGATTTCATCCTGATGTCCCAAATACATATTTATTTATGACCACTAGTTCTCACTTCATTGCACCTTCTCCCCTGAGAGTGGAGATCTTGCCAGAACATTACATTTCAGGTTAGTAAGGGAATCAGGGAAGGAACATCAGTGACAAAGATGATACTGCAAAGTCTTCAAGAAGAAATCCACAGCAGTGACTTTACCTCTGCCCCAGCTTTGAACTCACTATTTCCTCCTTTTTTTCCAGCTCGTTTCAAGGCAAAAAGTCTACTGCCACTAGATACTGCAATTTTAAGTAAATTATGGGCCAGTACACATTGCAGCAGGCTACTCAACCAACAATGAGCTCAAGAATGTGCTGGGCAACAGCTTAGCTCACCAAGTTGCACACCACCGCGTATTTTTTAAAAGAGGAGGTTTCTCTTCAAGTGCTCAGCTACTAATTCAAATACCAACGGCATCCTTCTCCAACCAGCTCCACTTTCATTAGCACAGCAGTAAATTCCCATGATCTCATGCCCAGTCTATTGCCCGGAAAGCAACAAGTACATGTGGCAATTCAGGCATTTCATAAGCATTCTTTTGAACTACATTTTTTATAGAAAGGTTAAGCTTATCTAGAAGCATGAGGCTTCAACCCAGAAGATCTAAACACAAGATCCAACAATATTTAAAAATGCTACTTTCGGGATTTAAAAGTGACCACAAGAGCATCAGAGGGGTTTGCAGGAATGATTGTGGTTAGTTCTCCAACCATCCCAAAGGGAATAAAAGCAGAAATAAATCTCCTGTGAAAAGGCACAGGAATGGGATGACAACCCTACAGAGCAGCCCTACAACAACGCCTGGGGAGGAGAGTTTGCTCTGTGACTGTTATATCATTGGCATCCTCAAGGCTGAAAAAGGGCTCCAGCCTGTATTTTGTGTGGCACTCATTGACCACAACCCAGGTACTGACTTCGAGCTGATTTCCACCAGACATCAAATGCTTAACAGCAGCTTGTGAGCGGCTAACTAATAACTTTTCTGATTCAGCTGAGGAATGAATGAATGGTTGAAGGGCTCCATATTCTTTATTGTTATTTATTTTTTTTTTACTCTCAGCCTCAGTCAGAATTTGGACTGCAAAACACAGACTGGAGTCTTTCCAACCTTAACCATGTCAGCTAAAGTAAGTTTCCATCACCCTACATAAAACAGCTGCCCTTGTGTTTGTGGTAACAGTGGGTTACCAGCTGCAATAGGGTGGGATCATTTGACTGGAGCACCATTCCAGGGAGTGCTAATGGAGGAGGCAAATATACCTCAATATATTAATACCTCAACTGGGCACATAAATGGTCTTCACCAGGCAGGAGGTGATGCAGTCATGCCTAAATGTTTATGGGTACCTTCTCTTAACAGTTTACACTGCTTTTAGGAGACCGTTGATGAAGAGAACACGTTGAGAAGATCCATCTGTGGGAAAGCTGTTCCGTAACAGCTCATTGCACGTGCTGTTACATCCTTCTCCAGTACATCTGGTACAGAGCCATTGCCAAAGACAGAAAACAAAGTAAACTGAAACACTGATTCCATGCAAAACAGCCCATGCTTTTAACAGTTTAGATAAATTATGTTTACTTGTTTCCACCAAAGAGTGGCTGCTGCTTTGCTCAGAGTATACATGAACAGAGGAATTTGTGTGAGAAATGTGTTCAAAGCAAGAACCGAACGTATGTCGGCCAGCTTATAAACTGTAACAGGATAAAGGTTTACACACTGTTTAAATACATTTCTAAACAAACCTATTAGCAAGAATGGCCAGCCACACCAGCACTGCTGAATGTTTTAAAAGGCATGATTTTGACTCAATCCCAACTGCACCACCAAACTTGCTAACCCATGTGAGAAAACAAGGTGCCTCAATTCAGTTAGTCACCAGCACAGCACAAAGCCTCGGGGTACGGTTACACAGACCTCGCACTGGGAGGTAAGGCAGGCTGATGATTTACTGGCTACCAGCTACTTCGCAGTGTATTTTTCCTACAGTTACACAGCGTAAACTATTTTCCACTTATCACACACTGAGAAGTGCCCAGTGATAGATACTGTGGAAAACATAACACCTACAAAACACCCTTGAGCTCATCTCAGGAAAAACTTGCTCATACAGCTGCACCCTTACTCCACTCCAAAGTTTTTATTCTCTACAGTAAGAGACACATCTGTTTCTGGACAGTGCGAGTATTTCCTTAAGGGTGCAAATCCTGTTTAGCAGAAGCTGTA